CCCTCCCTCCTCTCTCTCTCTCTCTCTCTCTCTCCACTCCCCCTCCCTCTCTCTCTCTCTCTTTCTCTCTTATTCTCTCTTCCTTTTTTATCACTCGATAACACTAACTAACAGCAAGATTAATTGAAAAAAGGAAAGATACGTGACGTGAGGTCAAAGCATTTCAATGCTACTCCAAACAGTACAAGACTCCGAATGTATCAAAGGAATGAAATACGCTTGATTCGTGTTGGGAAACGTATGCTCTAGAGGCTCTAATTGCTTCTACGCTTTTTACATTTTTACAGAGCTTTGTGATGGAAATAGTACAAGCCGCACTAGAAGAATTCGAAAGATGGGATAGAAAAAAAACCAAAGGGCTATAAAGAGACCGGACGCGTCAATTCGTAATACAACGCGACATGTAACTTTAAATAAAGATATTGTCATTAATAAATACAATAAATAACTAACTCTAGAGACAATTTAGAATGAAATGATGTACGCGAAAGTAGTAGAGAATTTTGATTCTGTTCGCGCGAAAATTTGTTAACGCGGACTGTCCGTCATTAAATAATTTTTTGAAAGAAAAGCTTAATCCAATTGCCCGATCGAGAAACTGCCAGAAACGCGGATTGTATAAAAAAAAATTCATGGCGAGATTTTAACATCCTCCTTCTTGTTTACGTTAAAAGAAAATATATAAATATATAAAATATATATAAATTAAAATATATAAATACATAAAAATTATAAATATATAAATTATACACAATACATAAATCGAATAAATTTATTTACTTTAATAAAAATGAAAATAAAAATTTGCTTAATGATAAAAAATTTGTTAAATTTCTAATATAAACGATAATTTTTTCAACATTTCAAATCTATTTAATAAATTAAGAATAATATAAATATGCAAAATGTAACTGAACGAATGATAAAAATATATTTTTAATTTTAAAAAACGACATAAAAATGGCAAGATCAGTGTTACAATACAATATAATATTTTTTTATATTTTTATAAATTATAAGCTTTATTTCATTTATAATTTTTTCCTAAAAATTATAAATAAAATACTACATTTAAAGAAAGAAAAGATTAAAAACACAACTTTCAAAGAGATGTGTAAAACGAAACGGATAAATTCCGCTCTACGAGCAAGAATCACGATCGGACATAGCCGCGGCTAAATAATCGATCTCATGAGACTGACTTGAAAATGCTCAACGAAATTAATTGGCAGACAGCCATCGATATGCGACGCCTTGCCATGCAAGAGTGCAAATGACAACTCGGCGATGAAAAAGAAAAGCGCGCGAGGTCGAAGGATCACTTGCCATTTGGTTCTCAACTGGTTTAAACGTTCTTCGATGCAGAAGCGAAAGAAGAAGATGATGATGATGATGAAGAAGAAGAAGAAGAAGAAGAAGAAGAAGAAGAAGAAGAAGAAGTGGGAGAAGAAGAAGAGACCAATCGCGTGAGCGACTTGCGCGACTTGCGGGTGTGCTTGACGCTATGTTTCTTGGCCTTCTTGCCCTTAAACTCACGTGCGTGCCTAGCGTCGGCGATATCGGTGATATCATCCACTTCGTCGTCGTCATCGTCGTCGTCATCATCGTCGTCATCGTCATCGTCGTCGTCGTCATCGTCTTCCGTGATATCCAGGTCAACATCGTCATCATCATCGTCGTCATCATCGTCGTCCTCGTCGCTAGTCGGAGTTGCCGCCGCGACGGCGCCGGGCGACGCCGCCCCAATGGCCTGGACTGATACCGGATTCGAGATGGACTCGGCACCTTCGAGCGTCGACTCGTGCAGGTTGGATGCACCCTGGGCCTCGGCGTCAGCCGTCTCTTCGTCCTCGTAGCTGCCGGCATCGTCCTCGGAGCCAGTCTCGCTCGATGCCGCATCTTCCGCGACATCCTCGGCGGCTGCCTGATTCAGATCAGCCGCCACGGCGAGCGGCACCTGCGGCTGATTGACGGGGGTTGGTGCAAGTGTTGCAGCGGGTGCAACGGGTGCAACCGGCGAAGCGGAAGCTTCGTCCTCGTCATCGTCATCGTCATCGTCTTCTCCTGCAAATTGACAGTGGCACATTGACAGATGGACAATATTTGTTTACAGAGTGGTATTTATAGTCGGTTCTTATATTTAAGATTGTCTTAAGATTACATTTCAACCAATAAGATAGCCGTATAAGCTTACCTAAAACGATCCTAGATATAAGAACGGACTATAAATATATGACATTGGAATTATTTATTCAGAGAACATTTTGATCGCTAAATGGTTGCGGCGAAATTCTATTTCTCATAAATAAAAGCCATACAGGATAAACTAAAAGACGCAATATTGTGAGATTATCTCAATCATTTTTAATGAAATGGTTTTTTGAAGGTGAGTTCAACATGGACTCCACTTAAATGAAGTCTTTTCAACTCCAAAATGAAAGCAAATTTTGATAATACAGTTATTAATTAAACTGCCAAAGAAATAACTATAATATGACTTATGAGTTATGACATTGGAATCATTTACTCAGAAAACATTTCGATATGAGACGTCTTAAAGATCTTCTAAAAATTTTAAGATGTGTTTTAGTCATCTTACAAGTGTCTAATAAATGACTATAAAACGTCAAAAATAAAAAAATAAGACGTCTAAAAAATGACATAAAAAAACGGGACATAAGACGTTTAAAAGACATTTTTCTGATAATTTAAAAAGACATTTTAAAATTGTTAGGACGTCTTTAACTTAAACATCTCATAGACGTCAGAATGTTCTCTTATTATTAGACCGAGCGCAATGACCGAGAGAAATGATGAATTATGTAATTGAAACAAAACCGTATTTGTAATATTATTTGTAAATTAATTAGAAAATTAGACGGAACTGATTGATACTTATCTAGTTACTTAAGAAGTATCTAAATTTTAGTTGTAGATTACATCGTTGAGATTATTATCTTAATGGCTGAAAAATGCGATGTGAACTCAGAAAGAAATTTATAATGTTACTAAAACGTTGAAAATTATTCGCGATGGTACAAAACGCATTAGATTATAACCTTATTATTATCTCTCGCAAATTCACGCATTTGTGATTTTAACGCGCTCTGCATAAGAAACGGTCGGGGTGATCGAGAGAAGTCGGATTATCTTTTGGTATTCAGGTCAATGTGAAGAAGTAGCGCGTAGAAATTTTTTTTCCGAACCAAGATCGCTGTCGATTTATGTTAATTTGGACGAGTCAAAGTACTCTGTACCGTTATAACGTACGAGTATATGTGAGTGAGAAAGAGAGGTTCTCAAGCAACATACGAAGCTTCGCGTTTACATAACGGTGTGTGTCAGTTTGCAAGATTTTCTATTGTCTGCGATGTTCAATGAAAAAGAAAACAGATGCAACGTCAACGATCGAAGAAAGAGAAGAATCGATTCATTGTTCAATTCTCTCAAACAGAAACAAGTTATGGTTTATGTGTAATTCATTATTTAATAAAAACAATCAAGTCGAGTTATTTCTATTTAGAAAGATTCTTCTTTCTAAAAAAAAGGTATGACATCGATTATTTGCATTTCTCGAATTTTATTATTGTCGCTTTTCCGCAATGCCGATTGATTCTCTCACCGCGCTAATTTCGTCAATAGCTGTCATTATATTGATCTCACAAAGGATCCTTTTGACAATTATCAAGAAGTTAAAGATATTATAGTGTAACAGTAGTATAATAGTATTATATTAATTTTTGCTCTTGTGTTGAAAAAGATAAATAGCGCGCGCGTTTGTAATGTCTAGTAAAAATAGATTAAAAAATAGATGACTTTATATTTTTTTAAAAGAAATTTAACAAATTCAAAATTTTGCTATCTGTTTTTTACAACATACAAGAATCTTAATGGCTTGTTTGACAAAGCTGTTATTTAAATATCAAGTTTATATAACGGTATCACTATTAATATACGTATCAATTACCCGCACAAGAAATATTATCAAATCGAGAGGATTTATATGTTGAATCTAATTTTCTATTTTAAATTCATATTTCGTTCCAAGCTTATCTTCTTCATGTTTTATATTTTTCTAATCAAGCAATCATCTTCTTTATTTCCTTTTTTAAAACTTATTTGTTTATAAAAATATTATATAATGGATAAAGAAAACGAATGTGAGCGATTCCTCACCTCCAAGTATGTCTTCAATGAAACGCTCCAAGTAATCACCATCATCCTCGTCGTCGTCATCGTCGTCATCATCATCGTCGTCGTCGTCGTCGTCGTCATCGTCAGTGATATCTAAATCGACATCGTCGTCATCGTCATCATCGTCGTCGTCGTCATCGCTGGTGGTGGCTGGCGCTGCAGGCGATTGCCTGCCGGTCGCGACGACATTCTGAGTCGACACCTTACTATCAGCGATCTTGGGCACCGGTGAGGCAAGTGCCCCTATCGCCAGACAGCACAGCAACGTCAGCACTGCCGCTAATCTCATGGCTCTGCAAAAGGAAGTAGACATACGGAGGAAATAGAGTTGCTGGAGTTACTCTAATTTAGACGAGCGAGTGTATAGATATATAATCTCCTTGAAAACGCTTGAAATTGAAGATAACGCAAAATGAGGATTACACGAAGCGCTTTCGTGCACGTGAAGCTTAAAATTCAAACTGAATATTCATTTGTAATCATATTTTCACTTCACGCTTCACATACGTCACTTCTTTTCATTAGTTTTTAAATATCAGTTAGCGATTTTTTTCTTAAGATATTTATTGTAACTTTTTTACTTATTTATTAAATAAATGCAAAAAGTGCAATCGACATGAGACACTCTATTGTCCAGGTTCTCTATTATCCGGATCATATCACTGGCAAAATGACAGAAGACCGTCGACGATGACGGCTCGTTCGCATTATCCGTTACATAGAATATTATTCATGTTACGGAATACGATAAATATGGTAACCTGTGCTATATACAAGTTAACCGTAAGGAATCGTGCCTTTTTCTGTCTGTTGAAGAGACACTTTTCGTGCCATGACCGGCGATCAACCGTGCGATCGCGAAGTTCAGACAGTTCCCATATAATGTCCCATAGCATTCCCAAGCGTATGCTTTCAACTTTCGGAGCACGAACGGAGCGAAACTGTCGCGGGACGAGACTTATGAGCCGCGTTGCAAATAAGCCGGATGTTTCAATTGGTAGAGAATTGTTGCGGGTAGAATAATAATATGTATATGATAGTCGACAATGTCTTTACACAGATGTCTTACACGTCTTTCCAGCCACTTCACGGTCTGTAATCTGTAGGGAAGGTTAGGGAAAAATTGTGGACTAGAATAAATCGAGCAATATAAGCAAACAATGTGACACCATGATAAAGGATAATATTTACGAATATAAGAATAAATTCTTCTTCGATCTACTTAATTAATGGATCTATTCTATGGACTAATTCTCCTTACGGAAAATTAATATAAAAGATTTATCGTGACGTTAATCTCTCGTGAGAAAATCTTTTTCATCAATTCTCTTTTCTTTCTCTGATCCTGATATGAACGAAATTACAATTACTTCTTTACAGAAATTGAAAAATTGACTTGCGAAAATTCAACTAAAATTCTAAAAAATATTACATAAGAGGATGATCGAAGGAACTAGAAAGTAAGTAAATTTTTTTGATATAATACTTATTAAGAAATAATAAATGAATATAAAACGAATAAGAAAGTTGATTATAAACTCATGATTAATAAAAATTGTTTATATCTTTTCTATCATCTTTTGCTCGAAAAAAATATATAAGCAACTTTTTCGTTAAAAAGAGTAATTTTTCTATCATCCTTTGCTGAAAAAGATAAAAACATGGAACAATTCAAATTGCCTCACATTAGCTTTGTATAAATTCCGTGATCTGACAGCAACAGCGTGCATACCCGGAAGTAAATCCGCAAAGAGTTGAAATCAGAAGGAAACTCGAGACCAAATTCACAAGAAATTCTCCAGACGCGAGTACATCACACGAAGAAGTGCTGGCTACCACTGTATCAGCGTTGCACACGGTATCACTCAGCTCTTAGAAAAATCGTCTCTTCTCGACCTTAGTTCGATCGGCCGACGGGGAAACGGGGAATGAAAGATCGGTACTGACGCGGAGTCGGTCAAGGTCGTTCGTAGGCCGGTCCGACCGGAAGTCGTTCCCGTCCGGCTCGACGATTCCCGACGGAGAGACGGTAGGCACTTTGTTCTCCACTTTATATCCGGCTTATATCCTTGAAGACTCACCTCTCTTGCTTTCTCTACTCTCCTTTTCTACTCGTCTTTTCGAGTCTTTTCGAAGGGTTGATGATCGACAATCGACGACGATGACACGCGTATACGTCCCGGTTCTTCCACCGATCGATCCACCGAGCGGCCCGGTGAGAGTGTTAAAACAGACGAGGCGGTCGCGATGCGACCCTTTTATACCGACCCGCACCTCCACCTCCTTTCATACTCCTTCGTCGTCCTCCTTCTCGTCGTCGTCGTGCTCTTCCTGCGTTTGTTCGTGCCATACCTACCTACCTATCTACCTACCCATCTCCTGTTCTCCACGTGGCCCGACCAAGCGTTTTCTCCCTTTCTGAGACGTGCGTGAGCGCATTGTACACACGGGCATTTAACACCCCTCAAGATTATCAACAGACTTCCGTGATCGTTTTCGTGATCCAGCTACGGAGGAAAAGAGAGAAAAAGAGAGAGAGAGCTTATTTAAATTTTCTTCCAACATGTGTTTCTCACCGATTCCCACTTTCCTTTGACTATTCATTCTTTGTATCTGATAACTACATTTCTTTCGTCATAAATCGAGCTTTAGTCTATATGTTTTCAAATAAACTAAATAATTATTTTGATATTATAAAATAAATAATTATTTTGATATAAAAAATTTGATAATTGTATAAATATTACGGTAAATTGCACTAGTTGTATTATTTTAGCGAAATAAAAGGACTTTAATGTCTCGATATCTCAAAACTTTCTTGCAATCTTGAAGAATTTTGCCATCTTTAGATTTATTAACTTTCCTTCAATATTTAAGATCATCTGACTGAACATTATATTCAAAGTGAAATTCTGTGATAAGCTTATAAAACGCACTGTATGAAGATCCATTGAGTGCTACATCGTGAAACAGATCTGAGACAGATCAAGCACGCATTAGAAGATTATTGTCACTCTCGCTCCTTCTGGCGAAATGTTTTAATACTTAGTCCGATGACGCTGCTTCTTTGATGTGCTACTTTCGTGATAAATAATACATTACCCGGATCGACACTGGCTCGTTCGATCTTGAGGTGGCTAATTAGCGGCAGTTGGTTTACATGTGGATGATTGGCGCCATTTAATGCAAACGATCGCAGATATAAAACGATTACACTGATTAATGGAACACTGATTAATCGCACTTTGTGCGTCGTATTTATCAAGAGGACTTTCTTGACAATGATTCGAATAGACATTCAATGCCAACTTGTCAACAATCGACGAGGACGAATACTATGGCGATCAGTCACGAAAATAAAATGGACGATTAATTAAACGGATGTCATTATGTATATCCCGATCCATGATAATCGTAAACCTTAATTTTTAACTTTGAGCTAAGCAATCTCGTCAAGTATTTCTCGCTTTTTGCCAGAAACTAGTTATTGTTAGTTTAGAGCAAAAAATTTAAGTTTACAATTATTATCAGGACTAAAAGTGTCGAAATGTATCTTCTTTAAAAAAATAACAGCGATATTTGTAAAGTATAAAGTTGCAGTCTTAAATACTGTTATTTTTTTCTTTGTAATTAAACTTTATGACTCTTCTATACCATGATTTATTAATTGAACGCACTGATAAAGATTTAGTTAAGACAAAATGTTTGTAATCAAAAAAATTTTAATATATTATAATTTTTTTCATTTTTTTAAACATCATTGTCTATACTCATTTTAGATCTTTTTTCACTTCATATATTTTTATATAAAATATATTAATTGTAAGTAAGTTAATTAGTTATAACAATATTAGCTATGACAGCTTTTATATACGATTTTAGATTCAGATCTACAATTACTTATTTTGTTTTCGATTTCGCTTAACCTTCTCCTTTTTTTATATTCTCCATAGTTTATTTATATATACTTTTTCTTGACATTTCTGATAAAGATAATAGATTTTGCAATCAATAAAACAAATTTTGGATAAATTGATAAATTTGTTCGGCGATATGGAATAGAAAGGGAGAGTACGGGCTTGTAAAGTCTTCTCTTTTCTGATTCGTTTCACTTGAAGCCTTAAAAAACTGCGCACTTATATAATTTATATTTATACAATCTGAATAATTATGTCTAAACTTTTAAATATTTTCAATATTAATACAATTTTTTAAATAAAAAGAAATATGTATAAAGAAAAAATTAATTATTGTTATCCGATATGTAAATTGCATTTAGATTATTTTTAAATTATTTATTCTAACATTACATTAGAAATATTTAAAATTATAACTAAACAAATTTGTTAATCAAATTATTACGAAATATATGAAAAAATATTATCTAAATCTAATAAAATAATTCTAATAAAATCAGGTCCGACTTTTTGTATCTTCCATTGCATTATATTTGCTGCAAAAAATTCTCATTTAGTGGTTTTCAATTTTCTTTAACAAATCCGACAGGTAAATCTTGATTATAGAAATAATGCTCGATCGATCTTCAGCGCTGTATTTCTCGTGTACGGACAATAATCAATGTCTTCAACCGGTCTAATGACAACCCGATGGGACGATTGGTCCTGACTAGCGTTACGGATTGTAAAACAAGAATTGAAGAAATGAAACGTTCGCCTCGAGAACGAGGAGCGAAAGCAACGCGCTCGATCGTCTAACTGTAAATACTAGGCAACTTCTTCCTGTGGATGGCATAGTAGTAGCTACTGATGGATCGATCATACACTGCCAGCATCCGTTTTGTCTAACGCCCCAAGCGACGACGCTGAATTTTTATGCGACACATTCCCGTTTGTGGAACGCCGGACGATTTCACGCTTGGAGATTACTCCCGATGATCTTTGTAGATCCGACACACACGATCTTTCCTGTTTCCAATGTGCTATTCGCGTTATATTTAGTCCGCCAATTGAAAAAAATTCCGACAATTCAGCAAACAAATGTTCAAAAAGAGAAGAAGAGATTAAAGAAAAAGAAGAAAGAGAAGAAGTAGAAGAATCCAAGGTTTACATAAACTCATCACGTCATCGAAATTAAATATATATGTTATCATTATCAAGTCTTGTTACAAAGATATAAATCTTTTTTCTATCTTTTTTTTCATTTATTAACAATAAATGAGAGGGATTGTTAAAATATTTATTTCTCATGTTCTCGATTTGCGTTAAAAATTCTGATTATCATCTGTCGAAAAAAATGTTTATTAAGATATATAAAAAACTTACTCCTTTGTTTCATTCAATTGTTATCGTTGATATCAAACAATGTTCCCGTTCTATTGTCGTTCAATGAGAATTCATAAAACGATAATAGAACGCGATTGCACCCAGATGATATGGATCTACGAGACGAACAATAATAGAGTCCGATTAACTCACAATCAGATTAATTGTGATAATATCATACGTTGATTAGTTGCAATCGTAGATCAATTTCGAGATTCTATCTTATTCTATCTTAATACGTAACTAACATTGTAATTGTCCCAATTTTTTTACGTTTTAAAACTATTTATCTCTGATACATAAGACTTTCTCCAAAATAACCGCAATGCAATATATTTTTATTATTATTATATGTGAAAAAAATATTACGAAAAAAATATTTTTATTATATATATGTTTCATTATTAAATTTAAATATTTTATTTCGATATTTGTACAACCGAAAATTAAAGCTAGATATTTTTTTGATATTGATATTTTCTTGGTAAAATTTTGGTAAAATTAACAAATATAATAATTCAATAGAAAAATCTATCATTTTTTATCATTGTAAATTAATATCGAAAAAAAGAATGATTTTATTAATTTAAAGACGATTTTAATATTGACGATTTTAAAAATATTCGAAACTTAAGAAACCAGACATTACAAACGCGCGCTGCGCGCGCGCTATTTATCTTTTTCAACACAAGAGCAAAAATTAATATAATACTATTATACTACTGTTACGCTATAATACTTTTAACTTCTTCATACAAAATTGTCAAAACGATCCTCACTGTGAAATCAATACAATGACAGCTATTCACGAAGTTTGCGCAGCGAGAGAACCAGTCAACATCGCGGAAAAGCGTGAACAATAATTTTCGAGAAAATTTCGAGAGATGCGAGTATCGATGTCTTTTTTTTAGAAAGGATTAGAAAGAAAAATCAATGAGATCTAGATTCTCTCTTTCTTTATTATATACAAAATATTATTTAACAAAATTTTCTCATATATTGTGAAATTTTTCGCCAAAGCGAAAGCGCATCTGAATCATATCGTTCTGGAATCTGACGCTGAGAGATATTTTCCAGATAGTAGTGGGCGCGCGAACAACAGCTTAAGATCCGGTGCGAATTACTCGTTCGCGTGGATCATCGAGCTCTTGGGCTCACCGACTCTCCATTCTGGCTGGAATATGGGATTTGGTGTCACAACGAGGCAGAGAAGTAGTCCGCGGCTATGTGAATTAGTAATCAGGATGTGTGTCTCGCGCGAGTGGCGAACGTATTTTCGATACGCCCGCGAGAAGGGGCGGAGAACGGGGAAGTGAAACAAGTGAGGAATTGAGAGAAAGAAGAGGGAGAAAGAAAAAAAAAGAAAGGACAAGAAAGAGGGGAAAGGATACTACAGTCAAAGAAGAACAAGTGACGGTAGAATCTGCGTGCACATTCTTCGCGATATCATCGTATTGCGAGAATGTCAGTGTTGATTATTCATCGATTCGTGCGCGAAGACTACGAACGCATCGGGAAAAATCGTGTACTCGAATCGTTGTCCTCAAATTTCTCAATTGGAAAAATTGGCGAACGAATAGATACTAATCGATTTCTGCATCTGGCCCGATTATGCAACGTAATGCCAATTGTTATACAACATATACGCGAACTATTATTATATATATATATATATATATATATATATATAAAGCTATAAACAATTTCGGAGGAAAATTTTCCCCGAAATAGACTAAATAAAATGTTTTTTTTCGTTCGTTTAAATACATATATAATTTAAAAAATTATCTCCATATAATTATCTCAATAAAAATTTCTCTATGATACTTAAACAAGTAATCAACGTGAGTTACATTTGCTTTTATAAATTTTATTGAAACAAGATTTGCAAACCACAAAGTTCTTAAAATAGGTAATTCAAACACATTCATTCTAAATCCATCGAAATTTACAGTTTATTAATCTAGTAATTTGCTCGCACTTTTGTTATACATAGAGAACTATATAGCTCTTTCTACGTAATATAAATCTTATATAACATAAAAAGCTTATATGTATATAAGACTTATATTGCTATTCACATTTTCTTTTACGAGCGACTTTACGAATTTTATTGAAATTTATTTTTTCATTATTTGTACGACATCTTCATCATGCATCACATGCTGCAGTCCTACTCGCTGAGGCGAATATTTGGTACTTGTACCCTAAAACAACAAAGCATACTCTATATGTCTATAATCTATATTAATCTATATATCTATAATCTATATTTAGAATTCTTAATTATTTTAATTTAATATCAATATATGAAAATTCATAGTTGAACATCAACTAACTTACCCAAACAAGGGCATATTTGAATTGTTGAGCGAGAGTACGGTGAATTGCGTGACATACATGCTCCACTGTCACTCCTTTCCTCAATATTAAACCATCCTCAAAATCAGGCGGTTGTCCAGGTTTTTTTGTATATACTCTTATCAGAGACAAATATTCCCATAATGTTTCCAGCAGGAAGTCAAGGTTCAATTTCATATTACAACTGAGAAAGAGAAAAGAGAATAACAGATAACAAAAAATTCACTAAAAATACAAAATTTGTAAAAAAAAGTCCAAAATCTTTTATGAAAGTATTTTATATTACCTAACAACAACACTATTGGGTTGCCTAGCAATTCGATCAACTTCTTCTATCGATATTTGATCTATTTTATTATATACATAAAGGCAAGGCAAATACACTCGGTTCGCATTGATGACATCAATTAATTCATCTGCACTACAGTCTTCTCGAAACAACACTTCAGCATTGAAGATTTTATATTCATGCAATATCATTTGAACTAATTTTTCATCCACTTTTGTCAAAGGGCATGTTGAATTAAATGCTAAGCCACCACCCTTCTTTACTTTAAAATATATATTTGGCTTCTTCTTGTTAAGTCTTATGCCAACTGATTCCAATTCTTTTTCCAAGAGTTGTCGTTGAACATCTTGTTTGGTTGCATCCAACATCATAAGAACCAAGTCTGCCGTTCTAGCAACAGCTATAACTTGTCTACCTCTTCCTTTTCCCTATAGTAACAAAGAAAAATCATTTAATATCCACATGATCCATGTAAAAGTAATGATCTTGCAAAAGGTAATTTTCAGTTTGTTTACTTGTGCTGCTCCTTCAATTATACCAGGCAGGTCCAGCAATTGTATATTGGCGCCTTTATACTCGATAACACCAGGAATACATGTCAAGGTGGTAAACTCGTAGGATGCAGCCTCTGATTGAGTAGCGGTTAAAGTACTGAGTAGAGTAGATTTGCCGACGGACGGGAAGCCGATCAACGCAACTCTAGCATCGCCTGATTTCAGTACGTCGAAACCCTCGCCCTTCTCAGATTTTTTCGCTGGTTCCAAGAGCTGGGATCTGTATTTGGCGAGTTTTGCTTTCAGCAAGCCCAAATGATATTCAGTAGCTGCAATCAAATTTCACGTCTTTAGTTGTCTCATTCAGATTCATCGTTTTTTCACACTTTGTCGCTTAGCTGCATATCGTAGCCACAATATTGGGAAAAGATGTGAACAGGCAGGTTAAAGTGGACACCGTTAATTAATTAACTCGACGCTCACCTTTGTTCTTCTGCGTACGCGCGATTTCCTTTTCGATTTCCGAGATCTTCTCGAGTATCCCCATGGCAATGTCGAAACTCGTGCACAATTATATTTATTACATTTACCAAATGATCAACAACCAGCTTCGTCTGACGCGTGTGGCGGTGACAATTCGATGACGGTCACAGCCATAGACATAGTATAGATAGACCGAGCATGCTATATACCAGGCAATGGGCGATATGTGCGAGTGAGAAGAAACAACACCTGATTTTTTTCTCTCTCTCTAATAGAAGAAGGTGAGGAAAACATTAAGTGGGGACTATGTCTATGATAGGGATCATAGACACAGTCCTCACTTAATTTGTGTCCAGGATGTAGAGCTTTTTAATTCTTAATAAAGTTTAATTCTTTTTAAAAAATAATGATATCATAAAATTGCATTTAACTCAACTAATATGTATTTCATTTATATAAAAGATTTGATATCAAAAAAGTGGCGCTAAGTTATAATTTCATTATCTCGAAAGTTAAATGTACAATCGCTTTTAAAAAATGTAAATCAATCAATGATTCATATCTTTTGTATTTCCATTGAAATCTTCTTATTTTAAAACCCAAGTGGTAGTAACTTTCATTCTATCTCAATATATGAATATCCCACACAACATCAAAAAATTTCGGAAAGCTTTCAGAAAACTATCAATGAAATATGAAACCTTTCAAAAAAATATTTCAGACATGTTTCAAACATGTTTCAGATACATATAATATATCCTTTGATGTAATTTCAGAAATGCTTCTAAAATATTTATGAAATATTTCAATAATAAATCTTTGAAATATGTTAGAAATATTTCAGTTATAATTTTCTCACACAGTGCAAAAGTAACATACTTCGGTATACCGAAGTATGTTAGAAAGTTTGCAGAAACCTTTCAATAAAAATTGAAACCTTTCAAAAAAACATTTCAGGCATGTTTCATATTTATGTTATGTCTGTTTCTTGAAAGCTTTCTGAATGTTTTCTGAAACATTTTGTGTTTTATAGATATATTATTTCTGTTAAGTTTCTATGAAATATAGAGAGTGATTGGAAACAATTCTGAGTTTTTGAAAAGATGTGATTTTGATTATATTCTGATATAAGTTTTTCTCTTACAAAATTTTACCTGAGGTTTACAAAATACTTGAAGTCTAGTTTTTGAATCATAAAGAAATAATCTTGTTATCACAGGACAAATACAAGAGATAAAGCAGTGTAACTTTTTCTCAGACATAGTCGCTTAAATATGAAACAGTTGTCAATTGTTACGTCTGACAGTGAGTTGTGCGGCTCCTGTATTCGTCCTGTGATAAGAAAACTATCTCTTGTTATAAGAACCGTGGCACATAAAAAACTTAAGCAGTAAGCAAATTAGCTAATCGAGAACGTAAGGCAGTAAGTGTCGGTCCACAATAAGTGATTTAAACTTTAAGACGTAAGAAATTGACCAATTATAATCGAATATGAAAAGAATAATCGACTATGATTGGTCAATTTCTTACGGCTTAAAGATTAAATACTTATTGTGGACCGATACTTACATAAGCAGTAGCAAATCCGTAATGTTGATTTTCTTACTGCTTAAGTCCTAATCTACAATAGGTGATTAAAGCCATAATCTATAAGAAATTCACCAATCATAATCGATTATTCTTTTATTCTTCGACTATTGATTCGTCCATTTCTTATAGCTTAAGGCTTAAATCACTTATTAGTGTCGGTCCACAATAGATGATTTAAGCTTTAAGAAGTAAGAAATTGATCAATTATAATCGAATATGAAAAAAATACTCGACTATGATTGGTCAATTTTTTACGGCTTAAAGATTAAATACTTATTGTAGACCGACACTTACAGACCGGAACTAAGTCTTACTGCTTAAGTTTTTTTATGTGCAACGGTCCTAATTCAAAAATTTATCTTTGAGTAAAGTTTTGTAAAAGAAAACGTCATCTCAGAATCAGGATTATGTTTTTTCAAAGACTCAGGAATGTTTCCAATCCTGTATATTTCATATAAACGTAATCCTGAAATAATATACCTATATAGCATAGAAGGTTTCAGAACGTTTTCAAAAATATTTAAATCTTTCTAAAAGCTTTTTGAAAGTTTCTAATTATGCTGTATAGATGAAGATGTACAGCGACATATGATATACGAGTATGACACACAATGTCCAATAGAAGGATAGTTTTCCAATAGAGAATTGAATTCTCTATTAAAAAGCTATTCTTAATAATTATATTTCAATATAATGTCTCTGAAATTTTTGTTATACAGCACAAAAAATTTCAAAAGTTTTCAGATATCTTTCAAAAACATTTCAATCTTCTGAAAGTTTTCTGAAACCTTCTATTATGTATGATATCCTATATTTTATTTTAGAGATCAAATAAATATTTCTATTAAATGTCTTGGTAATATATTAGGAACATTTCAATATTAGCTGATACATAATATTTCGATGTAATATTTCTGAAATTTTTCAATGATATGCTTTAAACCATGGTGTAGAGACACAAGATATGCTCTTGCACGCAAAAATGAGGATGGATCAATGAGGATGGTGGAACAAGTAGTCATATTAATATATCAGCCAATCAGCATTTTTCTCGTGATATTTAAAATGTAACATAAATAAAGAAAGGATAATTATTGAATGTATTTAATTGAGAACTACTATTGTGATTTTATTGTAATTTTTAATATAAAATTACAATTTAACAATTTTTTAATAAGATATTTTTTATTAACTTTGCACGATTTTGTACTTTTTAAATATAATTTCAAGCTTTAAAATAAATTATTTTTATAGAAAGAAATGTATAAATAAGAAATGTTTAATACAAAATATTACAATATATAAATTCAATATTATAATATATAAATTCAAATTTAATATTATAATATATAAATTCAATATTATAATATATAAATTCAAATTTATTACAAACTTTATTTTATATTTTGTAAAATTATTTAATATTTCATATAAAAAAAGTAAAGAGAGGATTACTTTTCAATAAAAATGCTTTTATGCTTCATTGGTCCATGATAATTGAGCCGATCAATGATGAGACAAAGATCACTGATTCGGATTAGTCTAGGGAAATTTAGAGAGTCTATTGATTGAGTGCCACTGCTTTATCCGATCAGGGGGTCAATCATATAACTTTATGTGAAATTTTTCACTTTTCATTTTTCACTTTTTACTTTTCATTTTTCACATCTTGACATTTCACGTGAAACTTTTCACGTACAGCGATTATGTATGTAGCTTGGATGCGTGGAAAGTGAAATCATGAAACATAGTTTTTTTAGATTTATAGCTAATGAAAATTATTTTATTTATTAGTACAGTATTATATACATTTTTTAATAACCAATTGTATATGTACTACGTACACTTAATCCTAACGCAGCCCTAATCTTCTCTAATTCCGAAGCATATTTATTAATTTCCTAAATTTCCGCCTTTCCGCCACCAAGGTACATGGCGAAAAAGTTCACGTGAAAAATTTCACATTTTCACGTGAAAGAGTTACATGATCCCACAAAATCGTACATAATCGTAAGTTCACATGAAACTTTTCACTTTTCACGTTTCCGCCCTAGAGGAAAAGTTACATGATCGACCCCCAGAGATCTGATCATTTGTTGTAAACACCCTATAGGCCTATTCTCTAACTTCTTAACAATAGTTTCACTAGTTAGAGATATCATTACGCAGATTTAACGATACTATAACGAAAAATATTCTGTAATTTAAGGGTCGGCAGGAGAGACTATGGAGACTTTTATCGGAGATAAATTCCTTTTCATCCATATTACGGCCAAAATGCTGCGAGAAAAGCTATATAATTATGATATTTATAATCAGAATATTTGTCTGACGAAAGCTACAAAACGATTTTTGTAAGAAAATGTGTGAAAATAAATAATTCATTTATGCGTAAATAGATTTACACTATAGGACAATAAGGTGCAAATATTTTTTTTATCTATTGTAAATTTTTTTTAAGAGTTAAATTGCAAAATCTCGCTCTATAGCAAGAGTCATAATTTTATAAAAAATACTCATGGTAGAAAAAAACTCATGGCAGAATATTTTGCTTCTATAAGATAATATATGGGTATACTCAAATATATCTGCACTGTAAATAAGGAGTAGATAGTTACATTTATTTTAATTATTTAAGAGCTAAATTGCAAAATTGGCTCTGTAAGTAGCTTCATTGCTTCATTGCAAAAGAAATTATCTTAACAAAGTTTCATGATGAAACATCGTTTCTATAAGATAAAATATAATTGAGTATAGATACATATCTGCACTGTAAATAAGGAATAGATAATCATTTTAGATCAAGTCGGAGTTAGCCCGTCACTCCTGCCGACCCTTAATATAATTTTAAAAGTTTCATGGCCGCCATCTTTCTACTGTGAAAGATATTTATTAGATTCGGAAAAATAAACGGAAATCGACTGGATTTGAACTTGGGATCTCTCGCTTACTATTAAAAGACACTTAGCTGCACGACCGCGACGGCTCCTCTATGTTAGGTGTTTATATTCCGAATCTCTTTCATGACCATTTACGGTTGTTTATTTCTTACAACTCGACCATTTTGACATTACATTCGTCCCGAATGTACCGAGTCTTCATCTACCAAAGTTTTATCTGAAACTTGGAGCTTTTGTTCTCGAACTCGTTCACCTTGAACGACACCCAAATGACACCCAAATCAACTGACTTCTCGGATTGACTCCCGAATGCACATCCGATGCGCATGCCTTCATGAAGGAAAGTGCCCCTGTCAGGTAACATAGGCTGTATCCTCCAAATGACACTCAAATCGATTGACTTCGCGACGGCTCCTCTATATTAGGTGTTTATATTTCGAATCTCTTTTATGATCACTTACGGTTGTCTATTTCTTACAACTGCGAATGTTTTACCTCGCTAGTAGGCCTATTCTCTAACTTCTTGACGACAGTGTTGTATCATTATGTTGTCGTTGCGCAGATATAATATATAGGAAAAAAGCTGCGTAACATCTAGCTAGTAAAACTGTCGTTAAGAAGTTAAAAAATAAACCTACAGCTGCAGTAACGAAAGCAGGAAATGACAACATAATCTATGACGTCACATGCTTGCACGAACTCATCGAAAATTTACTGTAGTATATTTTGGAACGGATTCACAGCACTGCCAGTATATTATTGGCAATGAATCGGAATGCAGCTATGATTGGCTGCGTTCAGCAGAGAAAGCAGATCAGTGAGCGCTCAGTGATTTTTCAATATGATTGGATTTGGCAATATCCTTGCCTTTACATCTTCGTTGAATGTAAATATAGAAACCAATCATAATAAAGAATCACTGAACGCAGCCATTGAAGCGTACAATTTGAATGTACAAAACGTGGGAAAACTTAATGAACGAAAATGTATATCGTAGTAAATAGTGTGTGGCGATCTGATTTATTTTTGCGTATAATGCATGTTTCGTTTCTATTATTGTATTAATTTTTCAAAATTATTTTTATTGTGTATTGTATCAAATATTTAGAGATAAAATGCCAATAAAATTAGGAAGATAATATAATAAAGGAATAACTTATAACATAGAAGTTTCTAAAGAGGATGCTGTTAAGGCTAACCAAAGTAATGTTGTAATGATCTATGATGATTTACATGTAATTTTATTTTAAATAAGTTAAAAAAATAAATGTTATTTTTTGAGATATGTGCAATTACTTGTTCTGAAATATTTTCGTTATCTTCATAAATATAAGATAGTGGTTCTAAAAAAGTCTTAACAACATAAGCTAATATAACTTTTATCTCGTCAGAATTCATGATCGCAGGATATATGTTTGTAAACACAATTCCGACTATTTTAACGCTTCAAATCGGTCCACTTGCGTAGTGTTGGCAACATTAGTAGCGCTAATGGACCGTTTTACGGAAGCAGATGAAAGCAAAACGTCTGACGCATTTGTAGCATTGAATGGAGCGCACCCTTTATTAAAGTACTTTTGTAGATATTGATGGACGATTTGCTAGTTTAAAATGGAATATTGAATCAATACGATACTCATACAGATTGGTGATTTTTATAAAAGAAAGCACTAATGGAAATGCACTAATGAAATTTGATGAATCGATAAGTCACAAGAATAAAATATGAAAAAATTTTATGTATGTATCATTATAACTGTATTATGTAATTGTTCGGAGTATTTCGAACTTGCGAAGAAATATCTCAGGTATTAATTCATTATCAGACTCTTTTCATCCACATACGTCTTTACAATTAAGTATCTCTCATAATGGTATAAACAAATATTTTTAACATACACACACACACACACACACACACACATACACGAGTTTGTATGCAGGCATTTACATTCACATTTCTAGTGTCTTGCATTAACCATTCTTGCAATAGCCATTTCGTACACGAATATTAAATACATAAATCCTGTTTATCTCGGATTTTTTAATAATAACAATAATTGTAAATAATATAAAGAAATGTTTAAGTGTTTTTAATACAAGAATGAATAAGAGGTGTATTATAGCAAAAAATGTTATTTATCTCGTTACAAATCTATTATACGAATTTTCACGCATCAATTTTTTTATTACACGAATTGTCACAATAATACTAAGAAATGCGCGTATCACGGAAGATATTTTATTCTCCATACTTAAAAATAATATTATAACATGTTCAATCATGAAGGTGTCATTCGTGATCTCTTTGTTTCTGTAGAAATATCTACTTGATCTATATTTCCTTCTTCTCGAGATCCAGCACGTTTCCTCGCTTTCGGTGATGATTGTTTCAAACACTCCATATCATTAAATACTACTTGCGCACCTCCTCCACTCGTTGGAAGTATGTCACCCTATTAAAAAAGAAAAAGGTTCTTTTAAAACCTGAGCAATAATAAAGATTGCCTTAATAATTTCTATCGAAGAAATTACAAAAATTTGATATCATTTCAACCTTATATAGCTTTGTTTCGAGTTCTCCGTCTGTATCATGTTCTTGCGCAACAAGACAATATCTAGATGCACCATCCGTAATCTTTTTTGGTGAAGTAAGTCGTGTCACACTTCGCCGTCTTTGCATCAGTGGTTGCAATATAGTCCCGATTGGCACAAGTGCTTGAGGTCTATGATCGATCCATCTATCAGCACTTTGCGATCGTCTGTATCTCGGGTTTGCAACAGGTATTCTATCCTATGTATGAAAAAAAAATCATTACTCTTTCCACTTTTCCCAACATTTTTACAAATGTCAATGTTTTAGCTTATACAGCAAAGATATTGATGGATAAATATTAGTTAATTAAGATATTAATTTAAATGGAATGCACGATTACATATAAGCGTAAATATCACCTTTCGTGATATTCTGGCATCTCTATTTGGACTGATCACTCTTGTTGTCAATTCTGGATCTTGTTCCTTCGATGGAATTACATTAATAATCCCATTATCGTCAATTATTTGTTTTACCAATCGTAATTTATCGTCTTTCTCCTTCATTTGATTCTAAATAATAAAAAAATATTTAATTTTAAATATATATCTATTTAGTAGATAAAAAAAGTCAAAATAACTACCTGAAGACGTTCGCGCTGTTGACGCAATTTTATTTCCAGCTCTCTGTTCATTTTATCCGTCTCTACTTGCATCTTTGTATTATATCTCTGCTTCACTCTTTGCTTATCTATTAAACGTTGATTCAATGCCAAATCCCGATCTTTCACCTATTTATAAATATTTATACATTGTTTAAATCAAAGCATAATAACAAACACATATGTATTTATATATACATTATACAGGGTGATTTAGAACAACCGTTTGTCCTTAAAATATATTCATATAATTATATTCCTGAGTCGATTCTAAGACGATTTTTCCTCTACCAAATTTTTATAGAAGTTTAGCTTTTAAATTATAAGGGAAAACAGTTTGCGAATTACGGGCCGCATACAGAAGATAGGTAGGAACGGCCGCTGTGTACTCATCGTCTGACGCGGGCGATTGCGCGCGCGCGCGCGCGCGTGTGTGTGTGTGTGTGTGTAAGAACGAGCATGTATCTATTGCATGTATCAATACTCGCATGTAGCAATTAACTGATCGTAATCTACATAATCGCCCTACGTAATCGCCCGCGTCGGACGGTGAGTTGCATCGCTCCTGCCTTCTGTACGTGGCCCGTAATTCGCGGACTGTTTTCCTTTATAATTCAAAAACTAAGTTTCTAATAAAAATTTGGTAGAAAAATCGTCTTAGAATCGACTCAAGAATGTAACATTTTAAGAACAAACGGTTGTTTTGAATCATCCTGTATGTTATATACTTATGCACACACATCTAGATGAAACTTACTTCTTGCTGTAAACTTCGTATCGTTTCATTAGCGCTGTTTAATTTACATAAAAGATTATCAATTTGCGTTTCTGTTTTGCAAAGGTGTCCTTCTAATGCTAATATCTTTTTTTTCTGTTGTGTGTTTGTAGCTTTCAATGAAGCTACTTCAACTTTCAAATTTTCATTTTCTTGTATCATTACCATTAAGGTCCGTCTAAAATCTTCTTCTATAAAGAAAGCATATGTTTCATATATTATTAAAATAATTATAAGACAAATTTGTTAGTTGAAATTTGCAAATTGAATGTTTCTTACGTTTCTTTTGTAAATCTGCTTCAAGTATGTTCCGTTTATGGATACGCTGTTTTAGAAATTGTATTATAGAATGTATTATTTGATCGTTGTCCAAAGTAGCCTCTAATTGAGGAAATGGTCCACCCAAACTATAATATACATTATATATTTGATTACGTTATAATTATGTTAGTTTATGATAAACAAAAAAAGAAAAAAAGAACTTTTTCTCAGAACAAAATTCAAATTTTGTAATACCTGTATACTAGGCCCAAATCGATTTCTAAATCAGCAGCTTCTGGTCGTCCTTCCTTTTCCAATTTGGTTCTTGCTTCTTTGAATATCTGAAAAATTAATGAAATTCGTATTTCGCATATTTTAAAGTTATAAAATGTTTGACCTATATTTATTCATTCAGTGTCACCTTATTTGCTTGTCTTCTTCCAGGAGTAAAACCAAGATCCAACTTTACAGGATTAGACCTCGCAATCTGTACCTCTTGAGTCATTTCCGCGAATTTCATGACTTGCTACGTACAAACATTAAAAAATAATTTTATACTTCTTCATAAATGTATTTAATAATAAAGTTATTACGTACAATCATTTCATCATAATCATCTGCTCGTGGATTTACACAGACTATCATTCTGACCTGTCCTTCCCCATCGAAATAGTTTTTGAATAAATGTGTAAGCTTGGAGTCTCTATAGGGAATCATTTTATTTGTACCTTGATTCTGATTTTCTCTTAAAATTTCCAAACATGATCGCAGAGTCATCAGAGAGTTATTAATATTTCCTATAAAATTACATGTTCGTTATTGAAAAATTTCTATAAATTGCCCAAATATAATAAATGAAATGTCTTACCGGCTTCTCGCAAACGTTGTCCAGTATTTTTAGTGCGATTTGTTCGTTCGCTACCTGCTAAATCTACCAAAGACAATTGACTTACACATACAATTCGTTTATCTTGCATCACATGTTCACCCTCGCAATCTAAAGGCGCCTGATATATGAAAAATTAATTGTAAATAACTGCATTCTAAAATAACTCTGATGAAAAGTTTGTATATATATATATATATATATTACCTGTACAAGTCTAATAAGTAAAAACACTATGTGATCTACTTGATTCAGCATTTAACGCCGTGTGTGCAACGCGCCTTTTCCGTTGTCCACGTTGAAACAGTTCAAAGGCTTCTTCTGCACTTTTTACTTCAACTTCTGTGACTGCATGTACATACATATTTTTATTGCCATCTTCTCTAACAAATTTACTCTGCAGTGTCCTATATTAAAAACAAAAAAAAGCATTCAATACACAAAGTTATATGCACAGTTAGATTTTTTGCTGCAATATATATTCTTTTTTTTTCTTACTTGGTTCTGATATCATCTTCATCTAGCAAGTCATATACACCATTGTTATATATTTGAACATATGTAATAAATACAGCATAAGCATTATCTGGGTCAACTGTTATACTTTGCGATTCATTACATTCGGGAACTACTGCTGGATTACTATCTCCATCGCTATCTACCTTACGGCTACCAAATATTATTTAATGAGAAATTATCAGGCAACATTATTATAATCATGTTGCATATGTATGTATACATATATATGCGCACACATGTCTAACATAAAGATATCATCTATTTTCATACATTAAATAAAAAAAACCTTACTGTTTTCCAAGTCTTCCAGTTCTTTGTGAAAAATCTGTATGAAGTTCATGCTGTCTATCTAGCATAGCATCTGCTTCACTTTGCACATCAAAACCATTTAATTTATCTGGTTTAAAGACAAACTTTTTTGTTTGATAATTTGCAATAGTATTAAAAATAATATTCAAGCACCGAGGCATGATACCAGCGTCCTGTGGTTCTCCAGTCATTGTATATGTCTTTCCACTACCTGTTACACCATATGTAAACAAAAGACCATTTCTCCCATGAATGAGATTTTCAACTAGGGGAAGAGCGACTGTTTTAAATATTTCTCTCTGTGTCGCATCAGGTGTAAATACATGACTGAATGTCGTTTGTATTTCTTTATTAGTTATCGTACGAAAATTGGCTGCTGATTCTGGAGGCGTTATGACTACCGTTTTATCCGATGTAACTTTCATGCATGATACATCCGTGGGAGAGTGCATGGGTCGTAAACGACAATAAACTTGAACAGGATCTTTAGATATCATATTCGAACTTTTTGATCGGCAGATTGGCTTACGAGCTGGCGTTTTCGAACGTCTAAAATATCCATAGAACATTTATTCGATTTTGTAATACAAATGTACGCATCCAGATCATTTTGTACTCTTTCAAGTTTATAAGCATACATACGAAAGTTTAAAGGGATAATCATCGAGCTTCGACAAATTGATACTTAAATTTATAATACTTACGCGGGCTTCATTGCAGTGCGCGTTCAACTCACTTTTCAATATCAATTGAGAATTCGACAATTCGATTTAAAACTATCTTGCTCGATTAATTATATTCAATATTGAAATATACGTGAATAAAAAGTCGTTATTCGATTCGTAAGTCGATTATTCAAATTGAAGCCTTGTATAAATATCTATCAGGGTGGTCCAACTCAAATGGGAAAAATTTGCCTAGTAATTTGGCGCCATCTATAAGTTTACAAGCCCACAAATATGAACACACAGGCTGCGTTCCGCTGTAACTCATTGCCAGTACTGGCAGTACTGTAATGCGTTTCGAGGGTGTGTTCCTTTATTCACTCCGAGTAATACAAATAGCGTTTCCGATATAGAGTAGTGCACTACGAAAGTACTGCCTTGAATTCTATGACGTCATTGATTTTGATGTACTTCCTGTTGCGGCTACTGCAGCGAGATAAAGCAGTTAGAGCACAAAGATGGCTGCTTCCTGCTGGAGACTAAAATAACCTTGATTGATACTGAAGAAAATAAAGCGTATAATATGAAATAATATAATATCATGAAATTATTTATTATTATTAATTATTTTTATTATTGTTATTATTAATATTAATATTATTATTAATTTTTTATTATTATTAATTGTTTTATATATATTATATTTAATATATATAATAAAATTATATTTTTTTAATATTACATATGCCAGCCATTTTCAGTTGGAGCTTGAAACATATTACAATTGCGTTCCGTTTTATAATCTTGAAGCAGTTAGAAAGCGCACGAAACTAAAACGGAATGATAGCCGCAGTAGCATTATGTCATAGCATGAGTACTCGGAGTGAATAAAGGAACGCATCCCAAGCAGTAGCATTGGGAGCGAGTTGGAAGTGAAAATCTATGATATAACGTATTAATAATGTCATATGTGCTATTGGAACGCTTCGAAGTGCCAAGTGGACCGAATAAAACAACGTTCCAAACAATTCAAAACATTTGTAGCGCTAAGTGCCGCACTCACAATCGGTTATTAAAAGATGTATATAATAAAATAATTTTCCTTAGCTATAAAATCTATGAAAGTAGGTTTCATGATTTTACTTTTCACGTATTTAAGCTACATACATAATCGCTATACGTAAAAAGTTTTACATAATGGCTGTAATACTGTTCCGAAATTTATTCCGGTGTGCTGCGATAGCACTACGAATAATGACGTCATAAATTTTGTCATCACTTCCTGCTGTGGCTATTGTAGCTAAAAAGATGCAGCAGTCACAATACAAAATGGTGACATTCGAAAAAAAAGAGTTAACCTACTCGATGCAGAAACAAATATTCAATATAAAATAATAATAAATAAAGAAAACGTACAAAAAGCATTGCGAGATAAAAATAAAGTTTGATATTTATATTATAGCGGATTCGATCATTCATGCTACAAGTTTATATAAATTTTATTACATTATTATATACGAAATTATTGCTTTAATTGTTTTTCAGAAAAGATCGTGCGTCTACTTGATTTTCCATTTCTTTCTAAGATTGACCCTATTAATTCCAATATAAAAAAAAAAGGTATTCCGATGTAACCTAAATAAATATATTTCAGTAAAATTACAG